CTCTGATGCTGCGGAGAGACCTCCGTTTTCTGAAATATCTCAGAAGTTGAGGAGCATGGCTGCTGCTATAAATGTAAAATAAAGCCAATCCTGAAGCAACGTCGTGATCATCGCATACGGCAAAAACAAAAGTAAGACATCCAGGTAAGTGCAGTTTTTGGTCATCAACCTGTTGGTCGAATAAAGCTATGCCTTGGGTTCTGCTGTAATGGATCTCTCATAGTACTTCCACAAGTCGTTTCGAGGGTCGAACATAGACCTCCCTGGGCTGAATTATACTCTCAGGGAGGAGGAGACCTATGAAATTAGAACTGGGATTTGATGTCTGTGAGTTTCAACAGGTTTTAACCTTAAATCTTTTGCAGAAAAATGATGAACAGGTAAATGCAGTAACAGTTCTGGTACTACGGGTGAATGCATCTGTGTTTTGTTTTTGAAGATATGTACGAAAAGCTTATGCAATTAATAATGCAAGGCACTTGCATGCTTATGATAAATAACGATCCAATTTTGTTACTATTACTATTATTTTATTGTTAAATCTTGTTTTCTGATGCATATGACTAACATCACAGGGTTATGTAATATTCAAGTAATCCAATTTTGTTGGTTTAAATTGAAGTTCATGAGGAGATTGGGGCTTTTTACTATAAAAGGAAAGGAAGAGATCCAAGTTAGGCGGCTTGGATTACCTGAATTTCGCATTGGGAAGTATTTGTCTGTTGAACGCATTTGAATTTATATATATGAATCTGTTTCATTTGTGCAAGTGTTTAATTTGGTACGAGCTGATAAATGACTAGGAAACATGAGTTTGATTAGGTAATGAGCTGATAAATAACTAGGAAATATGGAATAAATCTGTTCGGAAATACGAGAGAATAAAGATAACAATTTGACCAATGGGAAATACGAGAGAATAAAGATAGCAGTTTGACCAACCAATCAAACGTGATAGGAAATTTTAGTAAATGAAATTATGTCTTCACCAATTTTGGTAAGCGAAACCAATCAAACGCGATTAGGAAATTTTTGTTTTTTTGCAAGTGAAATTATGTCTTGACCAAGTTTGGTAAGTGAAACATGATTAGGAAATTTTTGTAAGTGAAATTATATGTTGAATTATAGGAAAGGAAAGAGAATAACATTGATAAAATATTTGAACTCTTTACTATTGTAAATAGGGATTGTAAACGGGCGGGCTAGGTGCGGATACCCCCTCCCTATCTATATCTACTTAATATTTTCAAATCCGCCATCCGTCCACCACCTATAATGGGTAAAATTTTTCAAATCCATACCCGCCCACGTGGATATATTCTCAAATCTATCTCCACACCTACTACCTAACTGGAGACTTACCCTGCTAGACCCGCATGACAACAATCTTAAGTTATACATAAACAACAAACATAAAACAAACACGTCCATTAAGAACCATAATATTAGTCTTTAAAATTATACCTAGTATTTGATTAAATTATAAGTTATATCTTATACAATATTAAGATTTATAAATTAGTCTCTAAAATTATACCTAAATTCATAATGGTCCAAAATTTAATGGGTATTTAGTGGGCAGACGAATATGGAGTGGGCGGATGCGGGACGGGTAAGGTCTCAAACCCATCACCCGCCCACTATCCGCAACGGGTACCACTTTCCAAATCCACACCCGCCCACTATCCGCGACGGGTACCACTTTTTAAATCCACACCCGCCTACTACCCACTAAAGTTATACTCATCCCCGCCCCAATTGGAGCGGGTATGGTGTGGAATCCATAAAATTGTACTCGTTTGTCATCCCTAATTGTAAAATTATGGATAAAGAAATGAATTTGTTAGCAAATAGTTTCCACATTATATATTATTGAACTATTTTATAATCATCATTGACCGAGGAGCCTAATTTGTTTTCTTTTCACATATAAGTTTTTACATAATACAAAACAAGTGTCCAAATTATGCATCAAAAAAGATTACAGTGTCTAAAGATTTTTTCGTTGAAAATGGATGTTTAATGTTTTTAACGTTACATTTTTAGGCGTCCGGTCGTTAATTGTCGTTAAAGATGTCCATTAAGTGACATTTGTTACGTTCAGATAATTTTGAGAATTTTATTTAAAAAGTTTTAAAAAATAAAAACATAAAAAAATAACTCAAACATCAGCCTGTCTCCCTCCCCTCTCCCCCTTCTCCCTTCTCCTTCCATAGCTATCGGCCAACCAGCCTTGACCGTCACTGTCACTATCATCAGCCTTGACGTCAATCCCTATCAAACCTCTGTTGGCCATTTGTCATAATCTATCACCGTTTGTCGTGAAGAAATGTTCGTCGGAATGTCGTTCCCTGTCGATTCTGGTAGATCCAATGTCCATAAGCCACTCACCACCACCATTCGAACCACAGTGCAATCATGATCAAAATCACCGTTCGGCGATGATGGCCGACGATAGTTGATAATGGGGTTGAAATGAGAAATTTTAATTTTTTAGCGTTTTTTATAATTTCAGTAAAAGTGGGTTTTTTATAAATAATGTTTTTGAGTTTTTCTTTTTTTTTTTTAAAATAGTATTTTTATTATTAAAAAAATTGAAAAATATAACTGTAGACATTTAAAAATATAATTGAAAAAGCGTTAGACATCTATTATTAGTGAAAAATTCTTTATACACTAAACATTTTTCGAAATAATAGTTTGAACATTTAATTTTGTATTACAAGACGGAAGAAATTGCATCATCGAAAGAGTCATATTAACGTTCGTATTAAAATAAAAATTTACTTTAAATTTATCGGTGACATGTATATGGTCTTGTTTTGTCAAAATTACTTATAATAAGCCAGTTTAGTTATTAAATCTCAATAGCTGATTTATATCATAAATTAGGTTTACTAAAGCAGTCTATACAATTTTCATATGAGATTTTCATAATAAAATTAAAGATTTTGATATAATTTTTAGCTTGACATCTTCGCTGTTACAAAAATTTTATGAGATAATCTTTAGTTCTTAAGGAATTACCTTGAAGATTGTTTTCATGTTTGATGAAACTAATACTGGATATGATCCAATGAAATGTTGTTTTCTTCTAATCTACTCATTTACGTGAACAAATACAACCTATTTAACGAGTCTCGTACGCAGTCAGGACAGAACAAGGATCAAACACCCAAAGAGACAAGGGCTCATTAAATATTCAAATCAAAAAATTAAAGGATTTATTTAATTAATATTTAAACTTAAAAGTACTTAAAATACTATTATACTAAAATATTTACAAGGGGAATAGCCCTTTCTCTTCCATACAAAGAACGGTTCCATCCCTGTATGCAGTATATATCCGTTTGTTGAGAAATAATTTTTTTTGAACAGTCAGATAATTATAAAGTTGTATTTATTTATAGTTTTTTTAACTTATCGATAATATATACACATCCTATAAATATAACTGATTTTAACATTTTATCTTTAGAGAGACATATTAAGTGTGTACTTTAAGAGCTTTGTATGTTGCTTTTACAAAAAGTAAGTGAAACTATCTCCCTGAGAATAAGAAATATTGTATAAGAAAAAGTGGATAAGTCTAGAGTGAGTGACACGTTGATGTGTACTATTAATGATGTATATCGATATACACCACTAATATAAAAACATGATAAAATTCATTAATAGTCATTAAATTTATTAAAATAATTTCATTTTTCAATGGATTTTTAAAAGTTATTAAATAGACATTAAACTTTGGATGTTATTAAAACGTAGGTAACAATAAAATATGAAAACAATTTATTTTTAAAATTAAAATTATTTTTGAAAATTTTTCATTCATTAAATTATTTTAAAGATAATTATTTATTAATTGTGATTATATTTTTAAAATTAAAAATTTACAATTTTCGAGATCTAAGAATTTGAATAATCAAATAATGTAATTATTTTTTGATAAACGATATGATCTAATCATTTGAATTTTGTTTAAAAAGTTTAAACACAATTTTAAAAATACATCTAGAAAATTATAATATCATATTCATAAGAAAAAACATTCAAACTTAAATAAAAATAATTGAAATAATCCTTAACTTTTAATAATGTATCGAATATTTTATATGGTATAAATTCAATATTTATAATATGACACAAATATAATATTTAATTTATTTATATCAATTTGTTTTTCAACTCAACGAATACAATAAAAATTATTTTAATTAAAATTAATAGTAAAGTAAAATTTTAATTACAATTAAAAGGTCAAATGAGATTTTTTTATTAACTTAGAATATTACATACCTCTTTATCGATAGATAGTGATGTTGTGCCCATTTTATAACAAAAATTTAAGCTTAATGTCTATTATATAAGTTTTGAAAGATTGGTGTTTAAAAATATTATATTTATATAATTTAATGTTTATGAATTTTACCTTATCAAATCATTTTCCAAGAAAACGCTATGATTAACAGAGAGTTGACTGGGAATTATCTTTTGTATTAAAAATATTTAAATAAATTTCTTCATGAACAAAGCTTTGTAGGCTTTTAATAAGAGAATTTGAAGTCGATTATTTGATAGTGAAAGATATAAAAATTTAAGAATAAAGATCTAAAATTTAAATATTTTTTTAAAAATAATATATATACAATTTTTTTTAATTTCTCCTTATTATTAAACTAATTTTTTTTTTTTTAAATAATGAGATGCACTTGTCCTTTGTCGGGCTTAGTGCACCGGTCCCTGCTGCTGAAGACAATATTGCTAAATTGAATAACCTTAAACTCTAAATATTTTTAGTAAAATGAATATGAAAGACATAAAAAGAAAGTAAAAGCCATAAAAGAAAAATCAACCTCACAGTATTTTCTAATAAAACTTGGCACTAAGCCTCGGACATTCTTGTTTTTGCTAAGAATAGTTTGGCATTTCATGCATATAAGCGTATCATAAAAAATGAAAATAGACACTTCTCAAACTTATAGGACTGAACTGCCATTTCACAGCCTTAAAGACAAATCAAGCTGACTAAACTCATCCTCGACGTTCTCAGTTCCATATTCAATGGAAACGCAGTTCACATCTCTTCCTCCATATCTCATTTCTCCGGCAAACCCACTGGCTCGACTTTGTTGTTCGAACGGAGCCGTTGGTGACCGCAGACGTTGACCATGAGCCCTAACGACCGAGCTTAGCTCCCTGCTTTTCTTGGCTAGAGTCCGTTCTAGTTTGTGTGCATTTTGGTGCCCTCCAAGTGCCTGTGAGCTATAGAACTTCCCGAATAACATGTTTTAATTTCTTTTAATTTGATATATGAATTTAATTTTTTTTAATCTAGTCACTAAATTATAAAGGGTAGAATAACATATTTAGCCATTGAAATTTTAAATAATTAATTATGAATTAGGTATTTAATTCTATTAGGTTATAATTTAGTCACTAATTTCAATTTTATTTATTTTTTACAAGTTTTATTTATTTTAAATATAGTTTTAATTTTGTTCATTGTTTAGTTATATGTTAATTTTATATGTTTACTTTTAATTATTATTACTATTATTATTATTATTATTTAGCCATAAATTTATATAATAAATATTATTTTATATTAAAATCTTAATTATTTTAACTTATTTAATCCTATTTTAATATTTATATTAAGAAAGGGGCAGTCTTAAAACAACTGGATATCCATTTTCTGATATTTTTAAATAAATATCATATTTTATAAATTATATATTAATTGTTTTAATTATTTATTTTTTTAATATCGAAGAAAGAGCTTTTTAAGCACCTAGAAGTCCTTTTCTGATATTTCTAAATAAAAAATATTTTATTTATATATAAATTAATATTTTTCATAATTATAATTTTGAAATAATAGGATTATAAATTAATATATATGAATTTAAAATTTCTAACAATAGAGACAATTTATAATTAAAAAGTACCATTTTTGGGCGTTGTAGGTGTGCTAATCCTTCCCTAAACGTAACCGACCACAAATCCCTTTTTATTATTAAAAAGAATGAATTTTTTGGTTATAACGCAGAATCAATTTATCTTTTAACTGATGTTTTCTTAAAAACTCTTTAAAAGATAATTTTAGGTATTCGACCTACTGACCCAAAAGGCCGATGGCGACTCCCAAAATTTTTTAAAATCAAAATCATTAATTTATTCACATCACTTTTCCCGCCAAGTAAAATTCGTGCCCGGACGAAAACCGGTTACGACAAGAATCATACCCAAAATGACTATTTTATCAAATATAGGTGACATTAACATCCAACTCAGAAGACCATCAATTTTTTAACGGAAAAGGATGAGTTTGGAATATATGAATAGTGAGATGACTATTTTATAACTTTTAATAGTCAAGAAACTTAATAAAATAACAACTATAATTGAAAAATCATTTTAAAACTTTCAATAATCAAGAGACTTAACAAAGCAACGTCCAACGGTGGAAGATCATTTGCATACTTTATAAGTATATAATGGAAAGTTCTCTTTATATATTGAACCTTACTCTCCCCCCGTCTGGAAATCAGATTTGGATGATGCACTAATCAGGTTTCCAAGATTAGACATGTTCCCACCGGTTCTTATTGGTACAACTCTTTGATCAACTAATGTTCCTCTACACATACAACATGTCTCAATTGTCAGACGACAGACAACCAGAGGGGATATTAAAATCAACTTCTTGGTCACTCAGATGAGTTCATCCCTAACCTCATTCTTTCATCTCTTCTTTCTTTAACTGTCCAAGTTCAAAGTTTAGATGAGGTGTGCACAAATTTCATGACAATCAATAACAAGAGAGAGGCAAGATTCTTCACTTTTGACCCTAGCAAAAGATAAAAGATTTCAATAGGTCTAATCTCTTCATCCATCTATTCATTAATCGAATTGGTTTAATCTTTTCATCAATCAATTTAATCGTTTCATATGTCTATTCACTCATTTCATCCCTCAATATAAAGTCAAATTGAAAAAATAAATTATAAAATACAATATATAGATTTACACAAATTACTTTCAAATTTCTTATTTCTTGCGATAGAGAAATGTAAGATTATGTTCAATTGTTTATTGTTGTCGTGTTACTGTTGTGATCATTTATTGTTGTATTCTTAGAAACAAACATTGGTGTTACTCAAAACATCAAAAAAATGATGAATATGTCTTAAAAATGTCCATACAAATCTCAACGAAATTCTTATGATTGCTACTACATTGTATTGTATTATTATTACTATTGTCATATTAATACTTCATACGAATTTTATCTTATAGTTTACCTTACATGAACTATCAAAAGCTCTAACCCTATCAGTCATTCTGACTTTTTTTGAACCGAGAAAAGCACATGGGGTATGGGATTTAAAACTGCAGAATACCAGACAGATCAGCCACCATGTTGCCTCAAACAGGTAAAAGCTTTTAAAATAAAGCTCCTAATAATAAAAAAACCATTGAGCAGAATTATTTTATGAACAAATTATTTGTTAGACCGTGATTGTGGGATCATAATCTAGCAGGTCGGCTATGATTGAGCTCAACATTGTCTGTTAATCAAAGACACAAATCCAAACCAAGAATACTACATGCTCTTCTCACCATTGTCGTTTAAGTCATAAAGATCCCCAAGCTCTAGAACATTAATTCCCTAAGTAAAAGAACATACTAGTACCAATTATTACGAAATGGATCAGCAGCTAAAATCCATGTGTTCTTCTGTACTTTAACAACCCAAGAGACAAGGAATCATAAACTTCAAATCCCCCTCTTGGATTCCCAATTATTTTCTGTACCAAGGACTGTTCCTTGGACTTTCCCTTGGTCAGTTAATTGGACCTGACTTGCTTTTTAACAATGCTCATTTAATTAAGATAATGATGTGATTAGTATTATTGCTTTTTAATAAGGTTCATTATGAAATGAATAACAATAATTCTTTTACTATCGAGACTACTTGGTTCGTGCAGTAAGTCAGTAGTTTAGAAAGATTAAAAAGATATAATGTTAAAAAAATACTTCAATGTTTGATTAAATAATCATTTTTGTCTTTTTTCTTTTTTCTTTAGCATGCTGACCCTCAATATTTTATTTTAGGGCAAAACGCCTTAATATTCGATTAAATAGTCGTTTACCTCTTATTATTTTTTGAGCATTTGACCTTAAATATTGCATCTTAAGAAAAAAATTATTTTTGAGTGTTAATCGTTTGTTGACTAACGATTTAACCATGAAGGAGGATTTTTTTTTGTTCCAAAAATAAAATATTAGGGGTAAAGATACTCAGAAAACTAATAATGGTCAAATTAATTATTTAATCGGATGCTACAGATATTTGTTATCATAGTGTTTAAAAAATTACTTAATAGTTAGTAGACTAGAATAATTTGACAATAATATAAGAAAGGAGGGAGGAGGGAGTTTATATCAATATCTTTTCATTTGATTAATCTAAAGAAAACAAACAAAATAGGCGAGATTCACATGGGGAAGTGCGAGGTTTTTTAGGAGAGAGCATTGACGAAAGAAATAGGAGGGAGCCCCTGGTTTTGGCTACACAAAAGTATATACCATAGATTAATGGGAGATGATCCAACTGAGATAGAAATGATCACGGTGAACATGTTTGTGTCTTGTCGGGTTAATTTAGCATACATTAAAATGTTTTACGAGGAACTCACCATGAAGATTCCTGCTTCCCTTTTATCGCAACACACGCACAATGACTTTCCCTTTTTTGCTTTTTCTATTTCCTTATGTTGATGGGAAGATTGGGTTGATCAATTATATTATCGAAAATTCAAATTATCTTACATTTAAATATTTTTTTATTTTTTTTATTTATAATCTATTTTTATCCACTAAAATTTTATAAGTTGAATCATTCCTAAAGTTTTAAAAATTTGTTCTCCTAACGTGAGATGTTCTGTCTATATATCATCATGAACCAATCTTCACGTAACTGTATGCATGTTGTTCTTTTGCAGATTTCCTTTTTCATGCAAGGTATAATTCATAAATTTAGGTATGATTAGCTGCCACCTTTAGTGCTGTGTGGTGCTAAGTTAGGATGAGTTTTAAGAACTGGGTCACGTTTGAAACCCACTTTTTACCCGCACTTTCTTGAGTGTTCTCTATTTCATTTTCAGACCCATTATCATACATGATTTGTTTGGCCGCAACAATATGTTTTCTTGTTGGTATTGCCCGACTACTTATTATTACTGAAAGATTTATGAGTTTATTTTACAAGCAATTACATTCGAATTGTGTTTTCGATGGTTAAAAAAGATTTTAAATAAAGTTTATCTTATAGTCACTCTAGAGTCTAGACTTTTCAAAAAGATAACCCAAATTGGATGTAGTTGAAGAAATAAATTGACGATTGCATACTTCATTTTCTCTAGGAAAAATTCTAAAATTCTCCCTAAATTTCTTGAGACTCAAACCCTTCAACCCAATATTTCACCATTCTTAAGATGAATCCACCATTTTTTTCATTGTTTTTTCATCGTAGCTCCTCAAAAACCTTAATTAGAAATAATTTCCATCTAGTTTCTAACACTTGACTCAAGAGAGTAAATCAAGAATTCATGGATTTCATTGCTATAACAAGAACTTGGGACGTTGATTTAAAGTGGTTTTTGGGTAATTTTGGTGGAAATTCTTAATGAACTGTTGAGCTATGGAATCTTTGAAGTTTTCTTTAAAATAGATCTAATTATTACTCTATTAATCACATAATAAGCGGTATTTGTGGTTTTCACCAAAAAATACTTTGGCAAATTGTTTTCACAAAGCATGATCCTAGCTATTTCTTCTAAAGTTCTATTTTTCCTCTCAACAACTCCATAACTCCATTTTGTTGAGAGGTTCTAGGGGTTGAAAAATTATGGCTAATTCCATTAGAATTACAAAATTCACCAAAACCAAGATTTTCAAATTTGGTTCCATGGTCACTCCTAACACTTGAAATTGAGTAACCTTTTTCGTTTTTGGTTTATTTTAGAGAAAAATATGAAAATTTCTAAAGCTTCATCTTTTGCACTTAAGAAAAGAACCAAGATAAATGCATATTGTTTTTCACCCAAGCTAGTAGTTCTAATAGGCCCAAAAAAATCTATATGGATCAGTTGTAATACTCTACTAGATGATACATCATTAATAGGTTTAAAAGAAGATCTTTTGTGTTTACCCTTATCACATGCATCTTAAATTTTATCAAGATCAAATTTTATCTTAGGCAAACCTCTTACTAGATTAC